TGAGCAGTGATGCTACTGCTTTCTAATTCAGTACGCACCCTTTAAGACTATTCCCTCATATGCATCATATGATTTTTACAAAGCTCATCGTTCTGAAAAGCGAGGTGTGCTGAGATTGGCCAGCTATCCAGTGCATTGTGATTGGCCGAATACCACAGTATAGATATAGTATAGTAGTAGTATAGATTACCTTATGATCATTTTATGGTGATTTTAGTCCTTATTTGTGCATGACAGCTCTTGTCTGCTTTCATTTTATGAAAAAGAGCAATGTGGATATTCCTCAAAACGTCTCCTTTTGTTGTCCATGGATGAAATAATGTTGTTAACACTTTACATTAAGGTCCCATTAGTTAACGTTGGTTACTGCATTAACTAACAATGAGCAATATATTTGTTACTGTATTTATAAATTTTTTGTTAACATTAGTGAGTAGAAATACATATGTATTGTTATATTACATTAAAATACATATAATTATGTATTATTATATATTGTATGTTAGTGTATTGTGTATTACATATTGTTCTTTTTTTTATTGTAAAGTGTCACTTTAATGTCACATGGGTTTGGATATATATGACATATATTTATTTTTGTATAAAGTCCCTAATGAAGCGGGTAATGATGCTGTCTTGCCTTCGCTTTCTCCATGTTCTCCATCAGCTCCAGACGGTTTCTCTCAGCGCTTTCCTGGTGTTTCTTGAATTCTGCACTCTTCTTCTTCAATCCTGCCTGCACAGAAAAATTATAAGAATATTAATGTTATGCTAAGGACAAACAATTTCCTACAAGTTCTTTAAAAAAGTCAGCAATGACATACAGGTAGAATCTCACAAAACCAGTCAATATATTTCACTATAAAATTAAGAAATATATATATATATATATATATATATATATTGCATAAAGAAAATTAATGGACATTTGAAAAACTGAAAAATAAAAAATGTTCATCTCAAATTCTCATTACTATAATGCAAAAATAATGATATACTATTTAAACTATACAGCATTTGTATGTCAAATACAATATTACCTCTCTATTCTTCCGTTCTTCTTCCACCAAAATCTTATCATGGCCCTTGCACTCGTTCACAGAGCACTCATAACAAACACACATGCTGTCGTTCCTGCAGTAGATGACCAGAGGTTTCTGGTGCCGCTCACAGATCTGCTCTGGCTCCGGATCCGTGTGGACGGAGGCTCCTGTGCTCACATCTGTCTTGGCTGGACTGTGTGTGGTGGGCATCTCCGTTATCATCGACATAGACACGTTGCGATTCAGCTCAGGCCTTGTGTCAAAGGAATTTTTACAAAAAGGACAGTGGAAGTCTTTGCGCATGCCATCCCAGAATTTGGAGATGCAGGCCTTGCAGAAGGTGTGACCGCATGGGATTGTCACGGGGCATTTAAATAGATCCAAGCAGATCGTGCACTGCATATGATCATCCATCATAAATCTGGAAACCTGAAAGTACAAAACACATGAAGCAACAACGTTAATGTCAATGAAAACCACAATTGGGGCATGTTGTCACAGACAGACACATAAGACGGATGAACGGACGGACGGACAGACAGATAGATAGACAGACAGATAGATAGACAAACAGATGATAGATAGACAAGACAGACAGATGATAGATAGACAGACAGATAGATAGATGATAGACAGACAGACAGAGACATAGAGATAGATAGATGACAGACAGACAGATAGATAGATGATAGACAGACAGACAGATAGATAGATGATAGACAGACAGGCAGACAGACAGACAGACAGACAGATAGATGATAGATAGACAGACAGACAGACAGACAGATGACAGACAGACAGATAGATGACAGACAGACACAGACAGACAAGATAGATGACAGACAGACAGATAGATGACAGACAGACATAGATAGATAGATAGATAGATAGATGATAGACAGACAGACAGATAGATGACAGACAGACATAGATAGATAGATAGACAGACAGACATAGATAGATAGATAGACAGACAGACATAGATAGATAGATAGACAGACAGACATAGATAGATAGATAGACAGACAGACATAGATAGATAGATAGACAGACAGACATAGATAGATAGATAGACAGACAGACATAGATAGATAGATAGACAGACAGACATAGATAGATAGATAGACAGACAGACATAGATAGATAGATAGACAGACAGACATAGATAGATAGATAGACAGACAGACATAGATAGATAGATAGACAGACAGACATAGATAGATAGATAGACAGACAGACATAGATAGATAGATAGACAGACAGACATAGATAGAATAGATGACAGACAGACATAGATAGATAGATAGATGATAGACAGACAGACAGACAGATAGATAATAGACAGACATAGATAGATAGATAGATAGATAGATAGATGATAGATAGATGACAGACAGACAGATAGATGACAGACAGACAGATAGATGACAGACAGACATAGACAGATAGATAGATAGATAGATAGATAGATAGATAGATAGATAGATAGATAGATAGATGATAGACAGACAGACAGATAGATAGATAGATAGATGATAGACAGACAGACAGATAGATGACAGACAGACAGACAGACAGACAGTTTACAGTCTTTTGTTACAGTTTAATACTTCTAAGATGTTATAATATTCCATTATATTACTGTGATGTTCATTTACTTATTATTGTTATTATATTATTATTATTATTAATTTTATTTGTATCTTTTTGTACATGTGTACTAAGCTTTGGCAATATTGTATCATTTACAGTCATGCCAATAAAGCCATTTTGAATTGCATTGAATTGATAGATGTTCGTGTTTCAGCATCAGATAAATGTTGACGCTTAAGTATACCGTTCTATAATCAATAAACCGAATTAAACACATCTGACTGATGAATTATAGTCATTATTAATGCTTAGGTGCATCCATATGCTGAAAACATCGAGACAGTAAACAGACAACTCCACCTGTCCCTACATCACCACTAAACAACATCTACTTTTAAAATTAAAGCAGAACATTTATTAATCGACAAACTCATTTCTCGTAAGACTCACAGGAGTATTTACTCATCAGATACGTGCAGAAACGTCCAATAATCCCGAGACCCGCGCGCTCTGGGTTTCTCGTCGCCTTCCATACGCACGAGCGCTCAGACGCGGTGACGTGCACGCACGTTACGTCACGCTTCTTGTGTGTTGACGCCTCGCCGCTCGTCTGTCGCGGTTCCTCATGGCGCTGCGCAGCGCGGCGTGTGTTCTGCTGCGGGCGGCGGTGGGTGTGGCGCTGAAGCGTCACGCGAGGGGTCTCAATAATCAGTAGAACCCCTCTCTCTCTCTCTATCTGTGTGTGTGTGTGTGTGTGTGTGTGTGTGTGCGCACACACACACACACACACACACACACTCACTCACTCACACACACACACACACACTCACACACACACGCACGCACGCACACACACACACACACACTCACACACACACGCACGCACGCACACACACACACACACACTCACACACACACGCACGCACGCACACACACACACACACACTCACACACACACGCACGCACGCACACACACACACACACACTCACACACACACACACACACACACACACGTGTACCTGGTATTTATCACGTTATGGGGACCAAATGTCCCCACAATGATAGTAATACTAGTAAATTTTGACCTTGCGGGGACATTTTTGAGGTACCCATGAGGAACAAGCTTATAAATCATACAGAATGAGTTTTTTTGAGAAAGTAAAAATGCACAAAGTTTCCTGTGAGGGGTAGGTTTAGGGGTAGGGTTGGTGTAGGATAATAGCACATACAGTTTGTACAGTATAAAAACCATTAGGCCTATGGGATGTCCCCATAAGTGTGTGTGTGTGTGTGTGTCTCTTCTGGTGTGAATGACCTTTATATGTACTTATTGCATTTATCTGTCTACTTATTCTTCTATGTATTATGATCAATAAGTAGATTATTTATTTATTAGTCTGTATTTTCAGTTTATCCTTACTGTCCTTTTTCGTATCTTTCTGAAGCACTTTTAGTTACTGCTTATCTTACACGTGCTCTAAATGATTATATATTGTTGTTATATTTTTATTACGGAATTTATTATTATAATGGTTGTTTTTATTATTAAAACAATATTATAATATGAATATTTTCACTGTTGTTATTAAATTTATACTACATTTTTATATTTATTTTTGTTTATTATTATTTATATTACAACAGTATAATAATTATTATTTGTGTTGTTTTTAATATTATCTATATAAAAACAATATTATAATGATATTAATATTTTGTTTTTTATTATTACATTTATACTCAATTTTATATTTAATATTGTTATGTTACAACATTATTATAATATTCATTATTATTTTTGTTTTTATTATATTTATATTACATTTTATTATGTTATTTTATAATTATTTTTAAATTAAATATTCTCATTTTTTTATTTAAAAACGATCTATCTGTCTCAATAATTATTTGAATAATATTATATCTAAAAAATATTAGAGAAATAAAAATGTTATAATTATAATATTTGATCATTTATTTTATATATATATATATATGTGTGTGTGTGTGTGTGTGTTTAATATACAGTTGTGCACACAAGTTTACATACCCCTTGCAGAATATGCAAAATGTAACAATTTTAACAAAATAAGGGGGATCATGAAAATTGCATGTTATTTTTTATTTAGTACTGTCTTGAATATGCTATTTCACATAACAGATATTGATATATACTCCACAAGACAAAATAATAACTGCATGTATAAAAATGAAAAATATATATAAATATAATTTTTTTTCTTCAAATGTTAAATGCTTTTTGGTCATTTGGTCTTCAGAAATGTCAAGTCAGCATTTAGTAAACTGTTTTCTAGTTGAAGTTCCTCCACAAGATGGTGATACAGTGACATAAACTGCGTCTGTCTTCGCAGATGGACATCTGCTGGATGCTGAGCAGGAGTATCTTCACTGGCTAGTGTGAGTATGTCTGTGAAAATGCATTTCAGTGAAGCTCACAATCCAACAAGAACAAAAAATGTAAAAGAGGAACATCTGGAGATCATAATATCATAGAGATTCTTTTGACTTGAGGCCAGTAAGCAACCACACATACAGTAAAAACATGTTAAAACCATCATGACCTCAGTCTCACTGGCCCCCGGTTGGAAAACCCTGACCTGAAAAAAAAAGAATTGTTTGACAAAGTACATGATGATATCAGTTTCTAATTATTAATTCATTACAGTGGGAATGTCCCTGGAAATTCGGTGTCGTCAGGAGAAGAGATCTGCCCTTACATCAGTCCATTTCCAGCCAGAGGAACAGGTTTTCACAGATGCATCTGCATCTTGTTTAAACAGGAAGGTCTGGTTGATTTCAGAGCTGATCTCCGCTCCTGCCCAGGGTCAGTAGTTTCCCCCACAGTCCACTCTAGACAGTAATAGTAGGGTCATGATAATACGTTACATCAAACTATTCTGAGTCAGTATTAACCAAAAAAAAAAAAAAAGTTATATACAGTACTTGTTAATGTTTTTAAGTCTCTTTTGCTCACAAATGCTGCTTTTTGATCAAAATACAGAAAAAACAGTAATATTCTGAAATATTATTACAATTTAAAATACCTGTTTTCTATGTGAATGTACTTTAAAATGTAATTTAATGCATATTTGCTGAATAAAAGCATTAAGTTCTATTTTACAAAATATTCAAATAGGAAACAGTCATTTTAATTTGGAATAAAATTGAAATATTACTGTTGTTTTTTTTCCCATCACATAAATACAGCCTTAAAGAGACTGTTAAAAACATTTTAAAAATCACATATAACTAAAACTGACATATTTTTGCTAGCATTGCAGAAATCCTTTTATATATAGTAATGAGAATTAGGGGGTAAATGTGATTAATTGATATGAAAATATCACAATTAGGGAAAAAAGTTTTAAAAAATAGGCTTTAACAGGCTTTTTAAAAAATGTTTTTAATGTACAATGGAATTTATTTATTTGATTTTGTGGGGGGAAATTTGACCTGAACATGTTCCTGGCAGGGTTTGTGAGATCCACCCAATACTTATTAATTAGTTATTAAACTATTAGTTGCATTTGGAATCAATTTATTTGCAGTGTCGCATTATTCAGAGGCATACGTCAATGAGGATGTGTCATCTATAAAATAAACCTATATAAAACCATCTATAAAAAATTACATTATCAGGGGTTAAAGCAAAAAAAATCTTTTGAGTGAAAATTATTCCTCAGCCAAACCCCATTCCACAGCCATATCTGTCACACACCCAGTTTAAGAGCAGTTTTTTCTTGTAATTAGGAGCTCTTGTCCTCCTAATTAAAAAAAATGTAGAAGCACCTTCTGATCAATAATAAAAAATTCTGATCAAAAATTAGCCTTCCTAATATGAGGTGACATTTGACTCAAAGTGATTTACAGGGGCATTTTCTTTTTACCTTTGTAATGGAATTTTCTAATTTTATTAAATGTATGCAGTGTTTCCTTGGACTTTTTCCAGCTGTGGTGCAGGACTATTTCCCATGGACCACGCCCCCTCCCCTCCCCACCCAAGAGTCAGGTGCATTCAGAATTGAATTTATTATAACTAAAAAAGACAAGTAAATAATAAAATAAGAACAAATAAATTAATGACAATCAATAGCACAAACAAAAACAATAAGAAGATACAAATTAAATGAACAGTACTTTATGCGAAATCGAAAGTGAACAGCGAGCACTCATTCAAATGCCTAATTTTGTCCTCCTAATTAAAAAAAATGTAGAAGCACCTTCTGATCAATAATAAAAAATTCTGATCAAAAATTAGCCTTCCTAATATGAGGTGACATTTGACTCAAAGTGATTTACAGGGGCATTTTCTTTTTACCTTTGTAATGGAATTTTCTAATTTTATTAAATGTATGCAGTGTTTCCTTGGACTTTTTCCAGCTGTGGTGCAGGACTATTTCCCATGGACCACGCCCCCTCCCCTCCCCACCCAAGAGTCAGGTGCATTCAGAATTGAATTTATTATAACTAAAAAAGACAAGTAAATAATAAAATAAGAACAAATAAATTAATGACAATCAATAGCACAAACAAAAACAATAAGAAGATACAAATTAAATGAACAGTACTTTAATTTTTTCAGTTAGGTCTAACTATAATCTATTCAACTGTAAAATAACACTGGTTAGTCTTCACTGTATAATGAAAGGCAGCTAGGGCTGGTCCGAATAACATTTTTTGAGCTTCGAAGCATTGGTAGTAATCAACACGGAAGCTTCGGAGGGAGGGGGCTGAACATATTCTTCTCTCTAATAAAGGCAGGAATCTCTGTGTGTCTGTCTGTTTGCATTTTTATTATGTCGAGAACCATTCATCCAATCGACTTCACGCGTGGCGGGTGTGTTGCTGCGGACCCAAGGGAGTGCAGTGTTGCATTTTGGTGCAATATGGACACGCGACACATTCAGAATTAATAAACTACAGAACAGCGCGAGCCGGAAGCGGCGCTCCTCACGCAGGCAGGGCTTATATTAGGTGTGCTCCAATCAGGATTTTTGAGGCCGATCGCCGATCACAGAAAGCAGTATCTGCCGATACCGATCACCGATACCGATCTTTTTAAAGCCTTCTTTTTATCATTTATACCTAATGATTTGACTCAAAGTGACTTACAGGGATATTTTCTTTTTACCTTTGTAATGGCATCATTTTCATCTATGTCAAATTCAAAAATGTATGTTTATAAGCTTTTTAACATTTCTATTTAAAACAATATAATAAGAAGTAGAATAAGACAAATAAGTTACCAATCGTATGAAATTAGTATTAAAAATGTATTTGTAGGCTACTACAGAGGTGGCACAGAAGAACACAAAAGTGGCTTGTAGGTACATTTCAGACGTTTAATGAGGCTCAGAGGTGGCATGAGTGCAATTAAATTCATACATTCATGTCGAGATTAATGTTTTAAATATAACATTTTGAATACAGAAATATTAAATGATTTAAATAACTGAAATGATACGCTAAAAATGAAACAAATCCGCCAGCAGGTGGCGACAAGTCACTAATTTTATCACTGAATCATTCATTCAATAAATTAGTTCGAACGGCTCATTCATTCAGGAATGAAGCAAGTGATTGTCTTTATGAATGGGTAATCATGAATCACTGACTCACTAGATTCGTTCAAAAACGCACTTTCATTGACTGAATTAAACACAGCTGTGTTTGCTTTTAGAGATGTGCAGGGCTGAGCTGTTACTATATATGGAACTATTTTCGTTGAAGAAATAGAGCAAAATCAGGCAGTACTTGTTTATTGAACTGTTGTAATAAAGGTGCAGTGTGTAAATTTTAGCGGCATCTAGCGGTGAGGTTGCGAATTGCAACCAACGGCTCAGTCCCCCGCTCACCCCTCCCTTTAGAGAAGCTACGGTGGCCGATACAGGACTAAGGGGTCGTCGGTAAAGACAGCAGAGAGCAATGAGATTTCTTTACAAAGGTAAATTAAGGATTTATATTTACTTAATTATTTAATAAATCGATGTTATTGCGAATATTAATGTACTTGTTCACCATTGTGTCAGTGTTTTATTTGCAAAAACAACAAAGTGACGAAACGCGCCGTGTAGAGCAGTTTGTCCGTTTAGGGCTTCTGTAGAAACATGGTGGCGACTTCCATGTAAGGGGACCCGCGGTGTATGTAGATATAAATTGCTCAATCTAAGGTAATAAAAACATAACGGTTCATTAAGTAAGGTCTTTATACACCTCTGAAAACATAGTTATGCATATTATATTGCATTTCTATCAATAGAACGATGTAAATATTACATATTGCACCTTTAAATAAATATCACATATTGCACCTTTAAATAAATATCACATTTGCAAACTCCCTTAATAACTATTAAAAGTTGTCACTCTCATCGTGATCTGTGGACGCACAGATGGTGTGCCGGCCGGCAGAACAACAACAACAATGCGCTAAATATTTATTTTCCTCTATTTTTTTCCAATGAACGGAAATCCGTCGTAGACTCGCTGCAATTAACGGAAATCCGTCGTAGACTCGCTGCAATTAACGGAAATCCGTCGTAGACTCGGTGCAATTAACGGAAATCCGTCGTAGACTCGCTGCAATTAACGGAAATCCGTCGTAGCGACGGAGAACTTTAATCCCTGCATCCCAGACGGAACGGGACGCGGAAAGTGAAGTATACCCGGGCCTTTACACACCGCCTACTTTATAACTCATAAAGGTCAACTTTACAATGGTTGCATTTCTCTACAACAGGACATTTCACATTTCCTGCGAATGCAGCCTTCGAAATGAAACACAGCTTTTCTTTGTTTTTGTACTACTCAGAAAACATTTTAAAAAATAGTATAAAGCAAAGCCATTGGTAAAATGCTGATTTGCAGAAATCTGTATTCTGTCTGTCTCTCATATTTGCAGCTACTCTCTGAAGCAACGGACTTTCCGAACATTAGACTTCTAAAGAAAGCACCAGGATTTAATGACTCCAGCCGGTCTTACATTTTTCCAGTGTCAGGGGGATCAGTCTGTCTCAATATCCTTCCGCCTTCCGTTTAATTTAATAAAAATGTATGCATTTAACAGACGCTTTTATCCAAAGCGACTTACAGTGCATTCAGGCTGTACATTTTTTACCAGTTTGTGTGTTCCCTGGGAATCAAACCCACATTCTTTTGTGCTGCTAACGCAATGCTCTATCACTGAGCCACAGGAATATTTAGAAAAATTAATTTATGAGTTGTGGTTTGTGACCCAGTTATATTAACATCAGGTCCAAAAACTATGAGGAGTAATAAGTCATGGCAAGTGGCTTAAAACTTAGACGCTCTGGAAAAAAACGATTGCTCATGTTGTGCTTTATATACTGTACACATATATATATATATATATATATATATATATATATATATATATATATATATAT